TGGAAAGAAGCCAGCACGCAGTAGTGATGATGCTACTAATGGATACACTTATTTGGGAGGTCTTGCTATGGAAACACAAAGAGTTGGAGTTAAATGTGCTATATAGATTGTAAGAACTCAAATATTAATAGTTACTGCCTTAAAGTGAGTCAATTATTATTATTTTTAAATTGTTTTATTGGGGGCTCTTACAGCTCTTATCACAATCCAGCCAGCCAGCCATTGTGTCAAGCACATTTATACATAGGTTGCCAACATCATTTTCAAAGCATTTTCTTTCTACTTGAGCCCTTGATATCAGCTCCTCTTTCTCCTCCCCCACACTATCTCCCTAATTAACCCTTGATAATTTATATATATATATGTATATATATATATATATATATACATACACACATTCATGTCTTACACCAACTGCTGTCTCCCTTAACCCACTTTTCTGTTGCCCATCCCCCAGGGAAGAAGTTATATGTAGATCATTGTGATCAGTTCTCCCTTCCTCCCCCCACCTTCCCCTTCCCCTGACATCTCTATTCTCATTATTGGTCACGGATTCCCAGTGTTTCGAGCTCTTATCTGTACCAGTATATATCCTCCAGTCTAGCCAGATTTGTAAGGTAGACTTGGGATCATGATAGTGGGCGGAGGGAGTATTAAAGAGCTAGACACTAGAGGAAAGTTGTATGTTTCATCGGTGCTATACTGCACCCTGACTGGCTCGTCTCTTCCTTGAGAGTGAGCCAATCATTTGAAGTATTAAAATACTTGCAAGTCTGTATACTATTCACCATGCTATCTAAGGTCGGTTTTTTTAATAATCATTTTATTGGGGGCTCGTACAACTCTTATCACAATCCATACATCCATCCATTGTATGTCAAGCACATTTGTACATTTGTTGCCTTCATCATTCTCAAACAATTTCTTTCTACTTGAGCCCTTGGTATCAGCTCCTTATTTTTTCCCCTTCTGCCCCACTCTCCTCTTCCTCATGTACTCTTTGATAATTTATAAATTATTATTTTGTCATATCTTACAGTGTCTGATGTCTCCCATCACCCACTTTTCTGATGTCCATTCCCCAGAGAGGAGGTTATATGTAGAACCTTATAATCGAGTCCCCCCTTCTACCCCACCTTCCCTCCACCCTCCCGTTATCGCCATTTTCACCACTGGTCCTGTTTATTATCTTTTAAAAAAAAATCATTTTATTGGGAGCCCTTGGTATCAGCTCCTCATTTTCCCCCTCCCTCCTCCACCACCCCTTACTCATGACCCCTTGATAATTTATACATTATTATTATTTTTTCATGTCTTACACTGTCCGATGTCTCTCTTCACCCACTTTTCTGTTGTCCGTCCCCCAGGGAGGAGGTTATATGTAGATCATTGTGATTGGTTCCCCTTTTCTCCTCACACTTTTCCCTTACCCTCCTGGTATCACTACACTCATTATTGGTCCTAAGGGGTTTTTATCTGCCCTGGATTCCCTGTGTTTCCAGCTCTTATCTGTATCAGTGTACATCCTCTGGTCTAGCTGGATATGTAAGGCAGAATTGGGATCATAATAGTGGGGGGGAGGGAGAAGAAGCATTTAGGAACTACAGGAAAGTTGCATGTTTCATCGTTGCTACACTGCACACTGTGCTATCCTACACCGTGATTGGCTCATCACCTCCCCACAATCCTTCTATAAGGGGATGTCCAGTTGCCTACAGATGGGCTTTGGGTCTCTACTCTGCACTCATCCTCATTCATAATGATATGATTTTTTTGTTCTGTGATGCCTGATACCTGATCCTATCGACACCTCATGATCACACAGGCTGGTGTGCTTTTCCATGTGGGCTTTGTTGCTTCTGAGCTAGATGGCTGCTTGTTTATCTTCAAGCCTTGAAGACCCCAGACACTATATCTTTTGATAGCCAGGCACAATCAGCTTTCTTCATCACATTTGCTTATTCACATGCTTTGTCTTCAGCGATGCTGTCAGGAAGGTGAGCATCATGGAATGCCAGGTTAATAAAACAAAGTGCTCTTGCATTAAGGGAGTACTTGAGTAGAGGCCCACTGTCTGTCTGCTACCTTAATACTAAACTTATAAATATATGAACATAGATCTATTTCCCCACCATTGCATATAAATATATTTGCATATATACATGCCTGTATTTAGACCTCTATAAATGCCCTTTTCCTTGTAGTTATTTCCTCTACTGTATTTCCTTGTCCCACTATAAGACAGTATACTATCTTATTAATCTGTCAACATCAAGATTACTACCTTCAACCACTTCCATTTTTAAAAAAAGAGTGTTTTGCGTGGTGTGAGTGTGTGTATGATGTGATGTGATTGTTAGTGTAGAAAGGAGTGACTTTAAAAATATCTATTTTGGTCCCTTGGCATTCTCGAAAAAGCAATGGAAAGTTAACATAAAATTTCTTTAAAGCTCTTTTAACATTTGTTCCCATCTCTCATTTATTTCCTTTTGAGGGAAATCTGGATCTCAATGGGCTTTGCTATAGATTAGGTGAAAAATTAACTCCTAAATCTTCCCAAGAATGTGAAATGCCTTCCGCTTTCTGTGATATTGTGGGGAAGCCTTTCAACTCTGTTGAAAGTCTCAGTACACTTCCCAGCAAACTTCTGAGGCCGGGCCCTTTACCCAGTCTTGTGACAGTCACCCAAGCAGCAACGCTCAAACAGCCCCCCATTGTTTCAAACTTGAAACCCTGGGCTCTATTGTAAGAAAGATTCTTTTATCCTAGACTGGGCCATACTTTTGCACTGTAAATCAGAACTCTAAGGAGACTTCTAGAGGTCAGAGCAGCTCAGCTACTTGCTAACGAACCTGTTAATGCATTTTAAGATAGAAAAATGAGATGCCATTACTGTGCAGATTCCTATTACAGATACATATTAGATGATGCTTCTGAATTTAAATATATCACCTGTCGCTAACCCCAAACCAAACTCACTGCCCATTGAGTCAATTTTGACTCAGTAACCCTATAGAGCAGGGCAGAACTACTCCTGAGAGTTCCAAGACTATTGATCTGTTTTACTTGGTTAGAAAGCCTCATCTTTCTCCCATGGAGTGACTGGTGGGTTCAAACTGCTGACCTTGGGGTTAGCAACCCAACACATAAGGACTACGCCAACAGGGCTCCTTCACCTGCTAGTAAGTAGCAGTAAATGCTCACTACATCAAATAAACAAAAAGATGTGGGTAAACCATTTGATTTGCAATCCTTGCGTATTATTTCAGACTAAAAGCTAAACACATCTTTACTGAAATCCCACTTGCACTCAGTGGAACACAAAATAAACAAAATCATCTTTACTGAGCCAATAACTAAAGGAAAAGAATCTGTTTAGGTCTGTGGACCCAGGCAGCACCCCTGAATTTTGTGGAATAAATATAACTTTATAGAAACACTGGAGACCTTATTGGAAGTGCTCTTCGGATGCCTCCACCTTCTTTCTCCCACTCCACCCAGGAGCGTTCACCTTCTTAATGAATTCATCTGAGGCCCATTTTTGTTTCCTGTGTTATGCTAAATAATAGCATCCCAAATAAACAATCTATGTCAAAAAGTCCTTTAAAAAATACACCATGTTAAGTTAAGCTTAGAAGCTGTTTCATATTTTCCCAGAGTACACTATTCTTTTATACACTTTACCATTTCTGTGTTTTCAGAATTGCTCCTTTAAATCTAAAATTTACCATTTTCTCGATGTCTTTGTTACTTGTTCTTAGTAAATCCCTCTCTGTGTATCACCGTGGCTTAGAAACAGGCTTTCAGTCCCTCTGACAATTCCAATGTGCAGCAAAAAGCAACATGAAAATGTGATGGTTCTGACCATCTTTGCTTTAATTGCTAACGTAGTTTTAAAAAGCAATATATTATTGGGTACTAAATAAACATTCAGTGAATTCTTGATTTTATGCTCTAACCAGCAGCTTAGTGTGTTGAAGGCCAGCGTTTGCATCTAATCATCCAGAAATGGTGGGAGTCTAGCCAGCAGACAGCAGTTCACGATCCCTAACAAACGGAAGTCGATGGTGGCAATGCATGAAGCACTGAACCCAATTATGAGGATAATGTTAAACTAAAAAAATAATATATATTTAAAAAGTTTTCATCCCTCGACTGATACGAAGAGTTAAATTTCAGTCACCCGGTCTGCACTTTGACTAATCTGTGGCCGCAAAGGTGATCCTAACTCTCTTCCACCTCTTTCTCTGCCTGGTGCCTGAATATGCCCTGCGCACAGCAGGACTGCCCTCATGCGTGTGTGCCAATCGACTTCTCAGCTTCAGGAATTAATACACACTCAGATTTATTGTAGATCTGACCTACTAGTAGCAAAAAGAATTCTTCATTGAGCAAACCCAGGTTTGTCTTCTTCTAAACCTGGTTTTTACATGACTATGACCAAGTATACTTGCAGTTAGTCTATACCTCCTCTACTTGGAGCTTTTGGGAGATCCTTATTCTATAGATTGGTAACTTCATGAGGAAAGGGCACCATCTACGATCTTGGTCCCTGCTGGGTTCTGGCCCTGTCAGTGGCACAGAGTAAACACAAAATGAATGAGCGGATGGATGGTTGAATGGATGAATCGAAAAGTCATTGCACAAGAGTTACCTATCAAAATCTCACCCGGTCTCCATAAACATTGTTTTGTCACTAGGAATGTGGAGTATAAGTATATTTGTATACTTCATTTTATTTCAAATAAATACTCTAGCAGTTTGTTTGTTTTTACCCTTTCGGTACTTATCTTAAACCAATACTGTTAATACAGGGTCACAAATTCAATTACAGTTACCTTGAAAAAATAAAGTGGGGAGGGTGCAGATAAATAATTGCTCTGCAAGGCTTCTCAACAAATTATCTGCCACTTAGGTTAACTTTAAGGAAACAAAAATGAATACAAACCTATTTAACTTAAGCTGATTTCTATAACATAAATGAATAGAGTTATACTTACATATAATGTAATAATCTTTGTTCTTCTGAAATTCTAGACCCCAGAGGTTAGGGCTGAATTCTTGAAACTTGATAGTGAATTTTACATCTTGGTCTGGTCTGGCACAGTTGAGGAGAGGAGTATTTTCCTTCTTAATAGTGCATCTGTCTGCTTGGTCTTTATCAACCATATAAACTTTATAATATTCATATTGACCAACAGTTTTAGAGTCCACTTTTGGGCAAATAATATCCAGTTTGTCTCCTATTTGTGGGTATAGTACCAGTCCTTGTCCAGGTAGAAATCTAAAAGCGTTAAAAACAAAAGAAAACATTGAGTTGGTAAAAAACGAATGATTACAATGTTAATAAGTCCTTGCTACAACTTTTTGGATCCATAACATTATTAACTAAGAGGATATGGGTTCAGATCAGCATGGGATAAATGCATTTAGGAATTAAGCTAAAGGAAAAAGAAAGAAACCAGTCTCTTTACTCTTCTAAGCAATAGGACCAGTCAACCTGCTGACATTTCTTTACCACCCCCTCGCTCGTAATATTTCAGTGCTCCTTTGTGTAACTTCACAATAACTTTTCCTCAGTGGTGAGTCAGGCCTTCCCACCTGTTTGTTATTTTTTAACCATTGGCAGCTTCAGGTTATTGGGCATGCCACACAGAGATCTCATCAATTTGAGGGAACAGTGGCTGCACTGGTACTTTGTTGTCTTTTTATTTTCCATTTGCTGTTGATGTTAATTAACAGACAAGTTTCATCAAGAATGTTTCAAATTACTTATCATAATTAGTCAGTCACTGATCAAACAATGGGTTTTTTATTACACTGAACAAAAGAAATGTCTTACAAACCCATAAAAGATAACCAGAAATAATTAGTTGTGGTATTGATTCAGCTGCAAAGTGAAGAGTTCTCCATTTGCAAGGACAACAACTACTGTCCTTGCTCTACAAACCTTTTTTTCCCTCTCCCTTGAGATGTATTTGCTCCAATTAATTCTTAGAAGCAAATCTTTAGAACTAAGACTACTGATACAATATCCCCCTAATGCTTACAGCTAAAAGCTTCCCTCCCTCCCTCTTCGCTTTCTTGCAAGCCATGCTGCTGAAAGATCTTTCTTAATGGGGAGTTTCTCTGGGAAACTGAAACAAGAGCTTCCTAATGAACATCCTTCTACAAGTGCTAACACTAACAACACACTTAGAAATCCCAGCTCCTTCTGTAAGCAGCCAAGCCTGCAGGCTCATTAAAATATTAAAGCCTGAGAACAAAGCCTCGCATTTCTGAATCCTTCCAATCCAATTCTTTATTTAACCAGAGAAGCCCACCAGCCATGACGATTAGGGGATCATAATTCACTAACAGAGATCAAGAAAGAAGGATGGGAAACCCCAATATCAAATCCATACTGAGGCAACAGCTAGTGATTTATGCCAATGAATGATACTAATTTTCTAACTGGTTATAAAACAGCATAGAACATACGGTGCTCCATCTATGCTGGAGTCATATTTTTAAAAATACTCTAACAAAATAATAATAACTTATGAATTATGAAGGGTTCATGAGGGAGGAGGGAGTGGGGAGGGAAGGGGACAAATGAGAAGCAGATATTAAGGGCTTAAGTAGAAGGCAAATGTTTTGAGAATGATGATGGCAACACAGGTACATATGTATGTGCCTGACACAATGAATGTATGTATGGATTATGATAATTGTACGAGCCCCCAATAAAATGATTAAAAAACACTTCTCTTAAAACAAAACAAAAAAACCTTGCATTACTAAACAAAACAAAACAAAAAAAACTCCTTATGGCAGGAAAAACGAATGCTCCACATAGTGGCAAGTCACTCTCTCTCGGAAATGTGTTATTTTATTACACAGAAAGAGGTGTTCTCATTGCACTATTGAGATTTTTTAGCAAGGACACTTTATATTCATCCCCAGCGCCCCCACCTAATGAACAAGAAATTCCAATATAAAATCCTCCTGTGAAGCAGAACTCAAAATGAATATTTGTTTTTGCAATAGGGCACATTTAAAACAACCATGTGTGTGAACACCTGACGAATTTTCTAGAGTGGTGATAAGCACAGACTTTGGAATAGCCTCCCTGACCCTTCTGCCCATCTCGGCAGCTTTTTTTCCAAGAGGTGCTTCTGAAATTCAACTCCAGGGAACTGAAGGGCTTCCCTGGGGCCCTCCCTCAGCCCCTGAATTCCAATGTGTCATCTGTGTGCTTCAGACACAGAGCACCCATCTCCCCGGTTTCTCCCTCACCCTAGTTTCTCATGTGTCCAACTGAATCAGAATTGGTTGTGGTGGAGGCTTTGACATTTGTTTTCGAAAACCCACTGACTCTGAAGTGTAGCTGTGGTTGAGAACTGGCAGGCTGCAAGGCAGTCAGCACAAATTAAGGCCAGCGTGCATTCAATCGCTCACCTTCCAGACACATCCTTGTTCTATGAGTTCTTGACCTTTTTAGGAAATCGTCACTGCCTACAAGCACCAGAGGCCCATGCTTGCCTGGAGTTTCCCAGCCACATGTCCTTCCAACCGTTTTCTCTCCCTAAATCTGCTCTTCTGCCGGCTGGCACAGCGCACAAGCCACACTAAGTATCAGCTATTATTAGAAGTGGTCCTAGATCACAGCTGGAGTCTGTAGCCTGCACCTCCCTTGGATCAAAGAACCTATCTTCAGTTCATTTTCACCATTTGCCAATTTCCCTAAGTGTTTGCAACCAGGACCATCACTATGCCAGACGTCCCCATTTTCTTGTCCATCCATCCAATTCTAATACGGAAATTCATCTTCCACCCCACTTCCCTTACATGCTGCCTACATCTTGTCCGTTTGATGCACATCCATCATTGAATTCTCCCACCTCACACCCTGTGTCTAAAGACTGGCTCACTCAGCTCTATCTTCATCCAAAACGTCCCTGATTTCCTGTTTCCTTTATAAAGTCCCGCCCACACCCACCCCGCCTCGACTCCTGATTAACTGAAGACTCACTGAAGAACCCTCCCTACTCTTGAAAGTAACTCCTCATGACTCTCACTCACCAAATCAGAGTTATGAATCATGTGCCAGCACTGATGGGGTGAGGTCAAGACGTGTGGCAAATGGGCTGTGTTGGCCTCAAGGATCTTTGCACTTTTCAACATATATTCAGAAGACACGCCCCGCTCATTTTGCAAACCAAACAGGCCTTGGTGTAAAGGTTTTACTCTGGGCATGCAATCCAGAATTGACCCACCTTTATTTGTTGGAACACTGATAGATGCCACAGGTGCTGGAGGGATGGGAGGGGACAACCATGCCCGGGATGGCTTAGCAAATGCAGAGAAAGCAGATGCATCTCAAATCTCAATGAACATGCTTAGTAACCTCATAACAAGTCAACGTCGGCAAAGGCCACTATTCCTGATGCTTCTGGATATGTCCATTCACTTTTGAGAAGCCACTGTGATCGGAACGAGGCAAAAATACAGTCCTTGGACTGGAAAATAGTCATTACCTAGTTTGTTAAAAATTAATATTTCTTAATTTTTATCAATACAGAAGGAAAACACCTAGTATCTGAGGGTTCTCCACTCCCACCCCATCCCTACCTCCAACCTGGGAATATCAGTTGGTAGATAACACACACAATAGCAGACCAAACCCTTTAATTGATAAGGTATCATTTTAGTAGGCAAAATGAACAGAAAAGTTGAGTGTCCGTATCACAGGTTTCTTGCATACATGACCACTAATACCACCACCCAAACCCATTGCCACCGAGTTGATTTCAATTTCACCACAACCCTGTGTATTATGAAATAGAACGGTTCTTTGGTCAGCTTGCTCAGATTGTGAGGCAACCCTGGTTTGTGATTGAAATGCACTTTGTTTATTAAATCTCTGCTTACAAACAAAACAAAAACAAAGTAGAAGATCCCGTACGGTTTTCCTGGCAGTAATCTTTACAGAAGCAGATTGAAAACCTTTCTTCTACATTCCCACCACACACAGTCTTAATTCATGACACTGCAGTGTGACCATAGAAGTCCCTATGTCTTCCTAAGATCCTTAAGTGTTTCTGAGAGAAGATAAGGAAAACCAGAGAAATAGTATTACACTAGCCAATGCAACCTATTTGGGGCCAGGCAGAGTGACAGGAATGTAAAAGGCCACAATTCCTAACGATCAAGAATTTGCCATCTAGTTCCTAGAGGGCAGGAAGGTCTATGTCTGTTTGATTCTACACTGAATAACCAGGTGACAGGTATATAGTACATGCTTGATAAATACTCGATTACTTTGGTTGCGGGAAAACAAAACACGGATGAACAAATGGGAGATAAAATAAGCACAACTAAATGTAGGATTAAATGCCACAACTAAATGTAGGATTAATTATTACAAGGCATGTGATAATTCTGAAAACAGACTCGTTTAGAGTTGGGACTGGGGAGCATTGGGAGTAAAGACAGGGTTTATAGAAGACATCATCATCCTGGGCACCAGGGTGTCTCTGATCCTTTCCCTCTTGGAGGATTCGTGATTATCGGTCTCACTCACTGCCATCAAGTTGAATCTGACTCATAGAGACCCTATAGGATGAGGTAGAACTGCCCCTGTGGGGTCCTGAGACTGTAACTTGTTATGGGAGTAGAAAACCTCATCTTTCTCCAGTGGAGCGCCTCAGGTTTTGAACTGCTAACCTGAAGTTAGCAGCCCAATACATAACCCCAAACCACTGGGTTCCACCTGTATCAGTTGCCTTGAACAACTCCTCCCCAGTTAAAACACAAAAGGCAATGAACAATATCAAGGACCACTAATTAAAAACATAAACACAACCAACTGCTGCTTTTGAGCTTTCATTCGTTGCTAAACACTGTTCAAAGCACCTTACCTACCATATTACCTTCACTTAGCCACTACACAAAGGTGCCGCTGTGGGCTAGGCACTGAGCCCTCAACAGTCAGGTCTGACAGTTCAAAGCCACCAGGAGCTCTGCAAAAGAAAGGCGAGGCTCCCTTAAAGAGCTAGTCTGGGAAAGCCTACAGGGTCGATATGAGTCAGCGTTGACTCAATGGCAGCAGTGGATTCAGCCTTGACACAAATCTGTAACAAATTAAACAGATGAACACTCATCAGTGCCAAAGATGAGACAGCACAGGAAGAGCCCCTTGCTCCGCACACATTTCAGTTCTCACTGCATCACATTAGAGCAGAGAACTTCTAAAAAAAGTGCATTTTCCCTAAATTGAGCTTGTTCGTGGCTAATCCAGAA